AGATGAAAGATTGAGAGATTTCGATTGATCCACTGAACTTTTCTTTCATTTTTTCTGATCACAATAGTTTACCCAGACAGTTTGCGTGGTTTAATTCTTACCCACAAGCATCACAAGGTATCAAATCTTAACTACTGTAGAAACATGTCAAAGTTTTGAGATTTCGATGTGAGATTTTAAGTTCAATGTCAGGAATGACTGGGGTGGAGCAGGTATTTCAAAAAAGTCTGTCTAGCTGGAAGAGCCAGTTGAATGGGCTAATTGTAAGCTAGATATTTGATTTTTAGATATTGCAAAAGCTGAAAAGCTATTTGATGCTCGATATTTTGAAAAAGCTGATCCAAAATGAATACCTTTAGAACTTAAACTCTGCTCTATTTTTCGCCCTTTCACCTAAACTGGTAATGACCATTCATTTAAGAGCTCCCAAACAGCTCGTGTTTGTGTCTCATTAGTCGAAAAGGAGAAGTCAAATGTTGAGAGAATGAAGGAGGGGAAAGCGTTCAACGACATCCCATTTTGAAAGAAAGAAGAAAGAAGAAAAGAGATCTGAGAAGCATCAAAGAGAAAGAAATGGGAGATCCCTTGTTGAGTGTGAATAAATAAAGACCATCGATATCTTGCTTTAGAGGTTGGACACAAAAGCCAGAAAATTTCATTCTTTATTCAAAGATTGTCTTTATTGTACAGAGATTGAATAGGGGATTTTGAACTTTTTTTTGCTCAAAAGAAACTTTCTGCTCACTATGGTAGAAGATTATATTGGTTTTGTGAGCAAGAGAAGGATACTGTAAAAGGTATGAGAAGTAATTTTTACTAATAATCCCACTTGAGTAGCAAAGAAGATAGAGTTTAAAGATTGCTATGAAGTCCAACTTGTCCAACTTGTAAGCAACTACCTCAATCTCATGTCCAACTTGCAAGCAACTACGCTTGCAAGGAACTTCACTCTTTTACTTTAAGGACAAAAGATACAGTGATAATAATTGAAACTTTGGCTTAAGTTTCGACTAAAAGCTGCCGATGTAAATGAATGTGATTTTAAGAAAAGGTCGGTTAGGTCAAAATGGCGGTGAGTAATTGAGCTGTGGAGGGAATTCGACAGAGCAGGGTTTTTAGTGTTTAAAACTGAAAAAGGAGATGAAAGGGTTATAATCATCGTTGGTTTTGCCGATACGAAGAGATCTGAAAAACAAGAGGAAAAAAAGGAGGGGAGAAAAGTGACACGTGTGGTATGTGTTAGGGGAAAAGGAAATCGAGGAAGTATATTTTGTGAGGAGTGTACACATTTGTGGAGTGAGAGCGAGTTCGGAGACATAGTTTCCTCTTAGGCACAAAAATCCCTGTTGGTTTTTGGGTGTGGAGAAGGGGTGTGGATTTGGGATGGAATGTTTTGCGTAATTCAAATTCGTAGTTAAACAGAAAGAGCTTGTGGCTTTGGAGTGTTGAATTTGAAAGTTGGTTGCTTGTACTTAAAGTTACTACCTGAAACATTCACAACTGCGGGAAGGATTATTGCAACTAATATTTTTAGGATAGAAACTGATAAAATCAATTTTAAAACTTTAAAAATTGATTTATAAAGATAGATTAAACAAGAAAAATTACTCTATATGAGCAGAAATGCAAGCCTGATGACATTTGGGAAATACAGTAATCCAGACAGACAGACAGACAGACAGACAGACAGACAGTAATCTAGACAATACGGTATGTAACTATATGTTCACAAAAGCCATCAGAATTCTATCTACAGTACTGGACAATGAAATATCATATCTTGAAAAACACAATCGCACTTTCGCCCGTCTAGTCACCCCCTTGTCTTTGAGTTTAAACTATTAGTGTTACATTTTCTGAAAGCTTTCAAGGGCTACACAATGGTAATATTAATATTTAGAAATACGGTAAAGACAAAGGAGTTACAGACGCGCGAAAGTGACGATCTTTTTTCAAATATGATATTTCATTGTCCAGTAGTGTACATCCACTTTGGCTAAATCGTAAGCGGAATCTTTTTGTAAAGAGATTTCTTAAGCGAATTGTTTCTGGAATGCGCTTTTAAGGACGTTTTGTTTCAAAAACATTCGAAACACTGAAATCTATCGGATTAAGATCACGGATCGTGGCCACTAAAGGTGAACAAATCGAGAAAATCCGCTTTGCGTCAGTCCTGAACCACTTGAGCCTTGTGAGCATATCATCTTGCATAAACACTAAATCCTGTTGCAAAAGTGATTTTTGACTCACGGAAAAAGATCTTTCTTAAGTATTTCGAGATAGTTGTTGGAACTGGAAATTGATGTCATGAGGCGGCTGCAGCAATCCTGCCACACCCTGCACATAACGGAAAACTTAGGCGCGTTAGAGTTGTGAGCTGTTTAGACTTTAGAACCTAAAACATTTCATAGATAGTCCGTAGTTTCAAGTCAAAGCGTAAAGCTTCATGTTTCTGAGTTTTGTACCGTTTGCCCTGTAAAAAAAAAAGTGATGTTTAACAGTAAATAAGGAAGAAGTAATTTAGTAGTCTTTTTTTGAAAGAAACAGTAAAAATCCTGCATTCCTATCTATTACTTTAGTATTTCTATTTTTTTTGGCAAATTCCTTAACAGCCAGTCAGTGACAGTCTTGTAAGACTACTGGACAATGAAATGATCATGTATTCGAGAGGGATCGTCACTTTCGGCGTCTGTAACTCCATTGTCTTTACCGTATTTCTAAATATGAATATTACCATTGTGTAGCCCTTGAAAAGAGCTTTCAGAGAATGTATAACACTAATAGTTTAAACTCAAAGACAGGAGAGTTACAGACGCGCGAAAGTGACGATCGTTTTTTCAAATATTATATTTTATTGTCCAGTACTGTACTTCCTAAAGATTGAAAGAAAAATTTGATTCACAGATCAAAGAGCCACATAAATGAAATGTGAAATCAAAAAAGACAGAGAAACCAAGAAAAAACCAGCTCATTTTTCTATCGTTTCTTATTTATTTCGGACTTCGAGAGAATCTCTTCTCAAAAACGAGTCTCTCTTTTTTTCTCTTTCTTTAGAGAGGTTAAGCAGCTCTAAAAAATTTCTTCCCGTATTCATAATGCACACAATAATCAAAAGAAAAGTGTGTTTAGTTTTTGGATTAATTATTAGATTATTAGCTTAGCTAGAAATTATTAGATTAGTTATTGGTAGCGAGAGAAGTTTCACTGCAAGTTGATCATATTATCAATGAACTTTAAAGAAATTTCAAATTGAGAACTCACCACGAAATTGAGTTTGCAGTAATTTTTGTCGTTTCCACAAAAATCGTTCTTTTTTTCGGCTCAATTATTCCCCTTGAGCCTATAAATGGGCATCTTTTTTTTGCTTTGTCTCGTTTTTTCAGTTCGTCAAAATTTCAAGGATCATCGGACTGAAATTAAAGAATTTATTTGATAGATTTTGTAAAATAAAACTAGCAAGCATTTTCTGATAAACATTTAAAGAGACTTGAAGACAAAGAAATGGGAAAAAGATCTGGAGATAGGAAAAGATTTTCATCAAGATGAATTTCTGTGTGTGTTCAGAAACTTGAATCGAAACCAAATCGGAACCATATCGGAACCAATATAGAGCCCAATCGGAACCATAATGGAACTTAATAAGAACCAAATTGGAACCCAATCCGGAACCATAATGGAACTTTATCGGAACCAGATCAGAACCAAAACGGAACAATATAGAACCCAATCAGAACCATAATGGAACTTAATCGGAACCAAATCAGAACCAAATCTAATCTCATTAAGCAATTAGAATTAGATTGAATTGTTCTAAAGGAATTTCAAAAAAGAAAACGAAAAAAAGAATTTCGTGAGAGTGTTGCTTGAACAGGTCGATCTACGGTGTACATGAGAGGGGATTCACTTGATGAAAGGTAGAGAAGAAGGAGCTGATGGCAGTACCTCTAGTTTCCCCCTTTCACCAATTTCTCTTTTCTTCAAGCTCGAATCTCTTGATATTTTCTGTTCTTCGTTGATTTGTGTGTATGTCGGCAAGTGTGTGATGTTGATGGGGGTAACCTGTGTGACAAGAATGTAAGCAAACAATTGCAGTGCAGAAAAAAGCTCCTTTCAGCTTCATCAGTCAATCTTTTTGAAGAGTCGATAGTGATGAAAATTCACAAAAACAAAATCTATTGTATTTTCTGTAGAGCGAGCTCTAATCCAGAAAATATCGTCTATTTTCTGTATTAGAGGAAATGGCAAAAAAAAACTAGAGTCACAGAAAGCGTAAAATTAAAATGCATGGTGAGAAAAGGTGGATTTTTTTTTGTCAAATACCTAGAGATTTCCATAAATCACAAGATTTCCAATGATAACTAATAAAAATTTTGATTAAATATTGTAAAATCATTGAAAGTGCTTGAGACAAGTGCTATTTAAAAGGGTGTGAAGTGTAGAATGTGAATATTATTGTCAAAAATGCGTGCTTAAATTTGATGCAGTAAGAAAGCCAAATTAATTAGCCGATTTTTCTCTCAAAATTTGTTAATAGATTTGCTTCACTTATCTACTTGGACAATTGCCTTGGTTTCAGCAATATTTGTCAAAGATCAGATTCAGAGATCTTTCTATATCGTACGTTTTCAGAATCAAAGATCTCCAGTTTTCTCCAGAATCAAAGATCGTTGATATATTGATATGCTGGAATCTCCTTCTTCGAGACTTCATCCACCACATCAAGAACTCTAAAAGTTCTTTATATTTATAGTGATTGATAGTGACAGCTTTTATTGATAAGGAAAAAGTTTAACATTTCAAAAATCAAGGAATATGGCTTACTATTTAAACTCACTATCACAGTAAACAGATACAAAATCTTTAACAGTCAAAAAAATTTTGTATTAAACATATTTACATACTAAAAGGGTATTATTGCATTTTGGTAAACGATAAACATCAAAAATGATCAAGGCACACTTTTAAAGATCAAATATAGTTTAATGCTTTACTAAAGCTCAAATTTTGCTGCCTCCTTGTTCCTGGATTTGTGAAAGTGTGGGAAATCTGAAAATTGTTTTAAGTCTTTGACGAACATTTACAAAATCATCATCGAAATTATGGAAACACTTCCCTGACACACCTTTCCGAATCATTCTCGGCAATTTCCAGATCCTGTGTGGCATTGTTTAAAATGATCTCTTGGAGTTGTTGATAGTCATTTCCATCCAAAGTTAGATGCATTGGCTTAAAGGTTTTTTATTGGATTATCTAAGAAATTCGAAAACCGATTGAGGAGCACCGACTGTGTGAGTAACCATCTCCAATGCCGAAAGGAAAGCTTCATCGGTTACACTTCGAGCAGATTGATAGCTCTAAAAATTGATTTGAATTAAAGACAAGATCTCTATTAAAGCATTTTTTCATAAAACTATCGTAATCTTGTCTATTCATCTATTTTTGTGTTTTGGTATTCTTTATGAACCTTGCTAGAATTAGACTAAAAGTGTAGCTTTGAAAAAAGCTAGAGACGTTTCAGAGACGTTTACGGTAGTTTTAAAAAACTTTTAGAGACGTTTACAGTAGTTTTAGAGAATGCTTTAATTAATCAAATCTTTTTGTAGAAGTTATTTTAATTATTTTAAATTTTATTTTCATTTTAATTATTTAAAAAAACTAACTGCATTTCGTCCAAATATTTGTTGAAAGGCGGGACTGCGAAATGTTGTGCGTGAAGATTGAGCTATTCGTGTGGACATCGGCATTCAGTGTAGACACCCAACTCTTAATTTAACAATTTAACAAGTCTGAATTGAAGTTCACTTTGTTTTCTAGACAAAAAAAACAAGAGTCAGTCTTATTTGGTCTAGCATTCACAAGTTTTATGCCTATTTACTTTACAATCAAATGCCAAAAAATAGATAAAAGAGTTGAAAATGTTCAAACGAACCACAGGGACGTTTCCTTGCCAACTTTCGCTTCGTGTTTCAATGTCCTTTCATTCCTAAATCTAGCTTTCATCACATTTATTGTTAATTGAATCATTGATATTTCCAACACTGTAGGTTCAATATTTATGGTGGATTTTTGAGCTCGCAGGTCGTTTAGCGCTTTCAAAATTGGTTTATGAAAAAACCGTCAGGAAAGCAGTTGGAATAAACTCGACTTTCTAGATTATTTTACAGTTTAATAAATTTTAAATTCCAAAACTCGATCACCAAATTTCACCAAAAGAATTCAGATCCCAGTTGTTCTTGTTTTAACAATGAGAAAGTCTTCATTATTTAACATTTTTCGAATCTACAGAACATTAAAAATATTAGAATCACATTTCAGTCTTGGTTTTTCTAAGAAAGCTTAACAAGAGTTTGTGAAAAACTCAATTTATCCGACCTCTACAAGCGTTTCTAGGCAAGAAACAACCCAAAAGGCAATAATTTTGAAAAAAAGTAACTTAAAGTTGCTAACGTTGGGCGTATTGAGTGTGTTACCTATTTAGCATTAAAATCGTACAAAATGAGCTCCTAAACCTAGTAATCTAGTGAACATAAATATTGAACACTCACAATCAACCTTAATCCTTAAAGACTTACACTCTCGCAGCTGAGAAAGAGGTTCCTCTCGACGAGTCTTGATTCTGAATATGTGATAAGACTTGAAAAATCAGAATCAACTTTACCTCAACACCACAATCATGACGCATCTTTTTTGGTGCACTTCCCGCAAGATGAGCAACAAGAACACTGAGATTCGTTTATTGGTAATTAGATTTACAATCGGAGAATTTTAAGTCATTTTTTTTGCATAAACATAGAGACTGTGTTATAGAACAAAATCGAATCTTACTGGCTAATTTGTCTTAAGGCTTGATTTTTAAAGTTAAACATCACTGATTAGAACGCTTTTTCTTATATTTGCTTTCTATTAAATCAATGTAGAAATCTCACTCTTTTAAGTCTTCAATGCTTGTTCCACCATTATCCCCGGCAGCTAAACGTCTTAAGTGTTGCAAGCAAGCGTCTCGAACAAAATGAATTGTGCTCGTGTTTTGATCTCCCAAGAAAGCAGCTCCATCTCTCACCTGAAAGAACAATTGAAAGAAAAATACTATCAACATACCAAATACTGTTGTATTAGCCTTTCGTATCCATAAGGTCGACCTCCAGTAGCCATATTGCCCAAGATCATCATACGATGAAGATACTGCGTAATGATTGATTGGGCGGTTGTCGCGAATATATTATCAGTTACTAAAACAAAGTTTTTTAAATCTAAATTTTATAACTAACATTCTTGATTGAAAAGAGTTTGAAGCAATCTTTCGATAGCGATCCGCTCAATGCGAACAGCCGTTTCCGGGACATCCCAACGTTGATTCGAATGCCTGAAATCTTGAAAATTGAAACTTGAATTGAACGAAAGATTTGCTCCAAAATCTTAAACGAAAATCGAAAAATTTGTGTTATGCTTTGAATCAGTTGTGCTTTTTTTTATACTAACAAAGCTCGTAAGCTTTAACATCGCCTGCCTTGCCCAGAATTCTCTCTCCCATTCACTTACATTCACTGTAATCTCGCCTCCACCGTTTTGTACTAAATCACGAATTGTTGTCGAATCAACCGCCATACGAGCTGCTGCCGAAGTGATGTCTAGAAATCATTTGCTCTTTCTTTTGGATTACTATTTGATTTGATTAGAGAATTATTGTACCCATACCATTTAAAGACGGCCGAGAGTTGTCGAATAAAAAGTGCTCAATAATCAGTCGACGAAAAGCATTTCGATGTCGCCCAATCGAATCCAATCTAGGCAGAAAAATGGTTTAAATGGTTTCAATTTTGAGGATAAAAATGTTTTTTAGCCTCAAAATTGAAGCCCTTTAAACCAAGGATGTTTTTTTAGTTTTAAAACCATTTGAAATTTTGTAATTTTTGATTACGATTTGAAAATGATTACCGTCCACCCATCAGCGAAATCAAATCGACCATTCCAAGACATTCGCCAATCAAAAAGTTTAAGATACCAATCAAATCTGAATTTCTCATTAATTTTTTTCGAGTTCAAAACACCAACTATTTGTGTTTGGGTTTTCATCGGGATTGAGTCGAGAAAGTATGCGTCCAACGGGTTCATTGCTAAAATGTGCTTCGGTTACGGTAGTCTTTTTTTTTTAAAAACACATTATGGATAGATTGGATTCACCTTCTATTCGTTGTGCTCGTGAAAAGACTCTGAAGGACATGACGCGAATTTTCAGGTAAAGAATTGAAGTCGATATCGGGCTAAATAGTAAAAGATAAGCTTTTGGTATTTTCCAAACCCTTTCTCGTTCATCATGATCATTTGGTGGATCGACGTCGATCGGACTGGCAGGCGTCATTTCAGCCGTTATTGCAATGTGCGCGTGTGTTGGTACGTGACGCTATAGTAGTTGAAAGGTTTGTAAACACCGGGTTTTTTTTTCAAACTTGCACTAGTTTTAAAGCTTTTTCTGGCGTAATTAATTGCACTGAATCCATTGGAAGTATTTATAAACAATTCTGAGTAACTTTTAAGCCAGTTTGAGCAACAATATTGACCCTTCAAGAATGGTTCTATTTCCACTAGACTGGACCGAATTAAGAGGTTTAAAACCCAGGTAACTGCTTGAAATGGCTAGAAAACAATTACTAAAGCTTAAATAAATACCAAACCATGAATCTGCGCCCTTAAAAACCCTAGAAGTAAAAATTAGTGCTGGCTGAATAGAGATAAATGTACACTGCCCCCGCCCCCAACTACTATAGCACCTGGCAAGTGCTGAAATTTTTATCGTGGAAAAAGATTACCTCAATGGTTACCACTTGAGCCATGGCTGCCCCGAATGCTAAAAGTCTATCGTATATCTTGTGATTTCTCATTTCATACGTCCGTTCCGTTCTCGATCCGCTTCCTCCATCAATCCTCGTATCGTTCGTAAACTGAAATTCGTCATTTCCGCGAGTTCACTGTCGTTCATTGCCCAAATTTGCGATCTTCCAGTGCGTCTTATCTAGAAAAAAAAACTTCCAGTACGCCAAGCCAAGTCCAGACTTTGCTAGATCTAGTAAAATTTACTACTTTCACCCCATAATTCGTAATCTTAGGGAATAACTTCTTTAAAATTTTTGCTAGCTGTTTGTTTTTTTAGAAATTAGATGCAATTCTGTGTTTGCACATATAAAAATGATTTTGACTGGATAATAAATCGGCCAGAAAAGTGGGTGATCAATGTATTGGCCAATGGACTAGTTAACTAAAATGAACAGCCTGGGCTTGGGCCGGATCTGGCCCATTTTTCCATCCATCCAAAAATCAGAAGAAATAGTCTGACTTTGGTCTGAGCAGGCTCAGAAAATTTTTGTCTAGAACCTATTTACAGAGCCTAGGCCCCAGCTGGAAGCCTCCATGTTACCTGAATTTCTGAAGCCATGCGTCCAAGTTGAGTCAAGGGCTGAGTTGGAGTGGATGGCTAAAGTAAAAACAATGATCTACATTAAAAGCATCATAATCAAAAGTTTTCCATAAAAAACCCTACCAATTCATCCAACAAGCTCATTATTCTTTCATAATGTTGATACGATCTGTTTATGTGTCGAGATGAGCACGCTAGGAACGGATCTGCCCCTTCCTGAAAAATTTACAGATAAAGTTTTGCCAAAGTATTGCCTCACATTAGAGCCTCCTTGCAATTGAGCCTCTCGTGGAAAATCGATGACATTTTGTTGGTTATGTACTAAAAGGATTCATTTCATGATTATTTCACAAGACTCACAAGGAGCAACGGGTGGTTGTAATGGTGTTGAATTGCGAGTTTGCTGTTGTTGCTGATGAAGACGTCTCAAGCGTACCATATGAAATTTACATTTGCCCACAATTATTATTGCTTTATACTCACTGCTGAATTGTTGCCGTTTTGTCGATTGGGAGCACCGAGAGACATCATCGGATGATGTCCGATATGGTGTGCGGAGAAATGATGAAGATTGTGATTGTGTAAATGTTGATGATTTGGCGTTGGCACCATCAATGGAACTTGTTGTGTGGGTTGCTAAATTTGAATAGCCGTATGCAAGTTTATTAGGCAAACATTAAACATGGGCACTCTAAACTACAAAAATGATGAACTGTCACACTATAAACGCTTCTAACTTGCTTCAAATCTGCCGGATTGACATGATCTATAGCTTAAAAGATAGAGAAACTCAAGAGCTTTGAATAATCTAAAGCACACCCAAAAGTATCAATGCTAAAGAAAGTTACAGTGACTTGTAGTCCTGGCTTGAAACGAACCATACTCGCGCGATCGAGTCAGGCTACAAGCCACTATAACTTTCTTTAGCATTGATATTTTAGATGTGCTTTAGTCCATTCAAAAGCTCTTGAGATTCTCTATTTTTTGGTCATGTCAATCCGACAGATTTGAAGTCAGCTAGAAGCGTTTGTAGTTTACGTTTCTACTTTGTAGTTTGTAGTACTCATGTCTACTGAACACCGATGCATAGGTGTTCAGTGAATGAAGCTATAGATCATGTCTACACCTAAGCCAACCATGCTGGGGGAGGCTTGACGAACCGATGACAATGGTCCGGCGACATTGATCATTGTCGTTCGAGGAATATTCCTTGTCATAGCATTCTGAATCACCGAACTAATCAGTGAGCTCAGTCCACCACCGGGATTTCCCGTCCGATTTATTGTGATCCCGGGAGGTGGTTGTGCGGCTTGCGGTGGGATCTAAAATGAACCTTAAATTTCAATGAACTCGTCGTTCTTTCATTGAAGATTTTCTTTTTTTTATATGAAAATAACCGAAGTGTTTGAATTTTGGCTTCCAGATGATCCCGATGGATTTTGATGAGCAACTGGAGGCTCTAAAAGGTTGATTACAATATTACAATAAAAGGTTTTTCTTTACGAGCTGAAATTTGAATCCCCATTCCTATTGGTACCATCATTCCTTCACGATAAGGGCCGGTTCCAAAAGGGCTGGCAATCGATGAAAGGAAAGCTGAAAGTTGAACTAGAATCGAATTTCAAAAAGCTAACTCAAAACTAATCTAAAACTAAAAACCAAAACAAAACCAATCAACAAAACTCAATCAAAAGAAAACAAAGCTTTTCTCGGTTAGCTTATTAAAAACTCACGCCGATCCGGTCGACCTTCATATGGAACTGTTAAAGCGTTGAAAGCAGATGTTTGACTCGTATTCTTAAATGGAAAATTAAAAATTAAAAATATTACAATCACCGTGGAATTTTCATCGCTTTCCAAGTAGACATCGAAGACAAGTTCTCCCTGTAATAGGTTAGATTTGAAAAGAAAACGATTCTAACCTCAGCGCTCGGTTCTGCCCGATAACGAGAATATTGTGGAAATAAGCGACGAGGGGTCGGATCATCGAAATGAATATTCAAATCGGAAACCAAATGTAGAACATGCGAGTGACGGTGGATCGTTTTTTGGAGTTGTTCCAAATAAACCGTTAAGCAATTGGCGCGTGAATCTGTTAGAAGTGTCTGAAAGTTTAGTTGATACAAAAAATGGTGCTAAATCTTGATATTTAGCTTAGTCCTGCAGTGCTTCGAGATATTTATTCATACCTCTTGAGTTCCAATATCAAAGTTGTCATTGTGGCGAACGACTCGTGACATTCTAAATCGAATATTGTGAAAATTTCATTGAAATAGTTTACCGGATCAAATGTGGAGCAAGTAAAGTGTTCAGCTGAACAAGGGACTCAATCATTGGCAGAAGATCTGTCGCCAAGCCATGACTGAAGACTAAAACTTTAAAAAGAGAAGACATTCTTTACCGTATCTGATATTGTGGCTGTCCTTCAAAACCTTGTGTCTCGTTTTGTCTTCGAATTCCGGTTTCATTTTGTGATGTTCCCAATTGTTGCATTCGACCATTTTCATTAGACGACTCCCCATTTGCAACTAAAAAGCAGCATTGGACTAAATCTCTGAAATTCCTAACCCCAGTTGCAGTTCTTCTCGACGTTTTGCTCTCCAACGCATTGCATTTTCTCAACCCAATTGACGAGTGTTTTCCGCTGTTCTCTTTCACTTTCTGGATCAAGCTTTGCAGCGCCATTCAAAATGGAATCAACCAGATCGGAGAAACCCTCCTATAATATGAGATTTAGGTAATAAGTAAATTCCTTTTCTAAAACTGTCATCTTTCGAAAACTATCGTAGTCTTGACTCTAATTTTATTCAATCTACTTTTGATCTGTTTCTGTGAGGGCTCACAAAGGATACTAACAATACAAACGTAGACACAATATTGGATAAAACAAGATTACAGTGGTTTTGAAAGCCAACGCATTTTAGAAACAACTCCGGGAAAAGAAATTACACTATAGTATTTAAAAATCGGTATCTAACTTACAGCAGTGACGCTTAAAAAAGCTTCGATATGGGAGAGATGCTCTTGAATCATGTTAACACGTTCTATAGCCGGGGAGTCAACCTAAAATAGAGCATTTACTTTCAAAAATTAATGCTAAACTCACCACAGGATTTTCTTGTCCCGGTAGATGAACGACAATCGAGCCGATGATAGGATTCCCAGGTTCACGGAGACGGGTTTGCACTTGGATTTGTTGAGCGATATCAGGGAAAATGTCACGAATGGATCTTTCAACGATCATCTGTAATAAATAATATTGATTACATAGAATCATTTGAAAGATTGCAAATCAATGAAAAATTTCTAAACTGACCCGAAAAGTTTGCAAAGCAGAAGCACTTCTCCCAAAAACAACCGGAATGCTATAGCTCACGACGTTTTCGTTCAATCCCACCTTGAATAATTTTCTTTTAAAATACGATTTCTGATCAACCTGTCCAATTGGATCATCTGGTTCCACACCAACACTCCGACTATTGTTCGGGACTCCAAAATGCCAATTGTTTTCTTGATGTTGTTCACTCTGTTCCGGTTCAGCATTTTGTGTAGTATAGGACATAAAAAGAAAACTTTGTTAACTCAAAAGGTGTCAAACTTACTGTTCAGGTCGTTCCACGAGATGAATGACATGTCCATCTTGAATACCAAGTGTTTCCAATGCTCCGCTGTTGTTGGTTAAAGGGCGACCCTAAAATTTAAAATAAATAACTTAGAAATTGTCTGATCTACATTTTGACACAAAATTTAAGAAAAAAATTTAAAAAAAAAAGAATTTTGAAAATGTCTATAGCTTCTGAAGCTGATTTTTACATGAAGAATATCAGTTTTCCGATCAAAAACGATATCAAACTAATTTCCTTTACCTGATAAATCAGCCGTTGTCGATTAGCAGGAATACCGGTTTGTTGAAATATCAACTCTTTGAATTGTTCGAGTGAGGTCGAAGGAGATGGAGTGAGACTGATATCTCGACCGTCAAGAATTTTCACCCGTAGATTCATCTGAACAAAAAAAAAGAATATATTTTTATGGACATAGACTTTGCGTTCACCGCTTTTTTTGCATAAAGAAATGAAAGATACTCTTTAAGAAATTCATCACAACCAACTTATAGTTTGTTTTTCTAATGTTATGCGTGCATTGTGTAAATGTGTAAAGTGAAGTGATACGTAACTTGTTTTTCGATCAAGACATAAGTTCTCTTATCACTGTTAACAAATAAATGTTAATAACAAATAAGTGTTTCGAAGTTTTTAAAACACGTCATTCTTCAGGATAAAGTTAAAATTTGAAACAGATAAATGATATAAAAAAACGATATAAAAAACGACAAAATATGACACGATATAAAAAAACGACAAAACATTTTGCATAATGTACCAGTTATTAAATGTGAAAACCATTTTAAAAATTTTCAATTCACTAATCTTTTCTTTTTACTTGTTCTTTTATTTTCCGGATTTGAGTGCATTAGAAGCCAAAAGTTTAAAAAGAAAACTGTCACCATTATCGGAAAGTTCGGAACTTTCCGATAATTTACGATTTTCGGAACTTTTCGAAGCTCGTGCTTTTGTTCTTTTTGAGTAAATGTATAGTACAACTTTATTGAACAACGAAATAACAATGAACAAAGCAGTTTACTCTGCTGGGACTTCAATATCACCGCTGTTAATCGCATCAATTGTGTCATGGGGATGTTGGCCATCAATTGTGCATCCCACCGATTGAGCTGTTCCTGAAATTGTTGCAATCAGTAAAGTAAAGTGTAATCTTTTCATATGTAAAGTCTCGAAACCTACCGAGAATTTCCTTCACAGTTCCTTCAAGCTTCTTGGCCATCGATCTTGGCCTCATAATTCGAGCAATCTGTAAAGATTTTGTATGCTTATCATTTGTACAATTGCTTTACCTTGATAATCGTATCGATCGTGAGATCACCGTTATGTTTCACTGAAAGTAACCTTTTAAAAGATGTCTTTTAGATTATAGATGTCTTTCAACTAGTTTTCTAATCAGAATAGAGTTTGTTTCTTCCAGATTAGGTTTTCTAAAACATGTCAACTTTAGAAAACTATTTAGCTTTTAATCTTTCAATTTTCAAAAGTTGATAGGTTTTAGAAAACGCATTAGTCGAGAGAAAAACACTACCAAAAACTTGTCAAAGCTTATTGTGAACGTAAAGTTATCAGTAGTTTGTTGTTAAAAGCCTCACCAAAACTAATTTGGAGATTACCAGTCATTTTGAACTCAAAAGACTGGGGGATGGGAGCTAAGCGGAGCAACCCGACCCATCGCCAAAAAGGGATATTTACCGTTTTTGACCTTCTTCCGATCGCGCGGTGGCTCTTTCAATTCTTTGATTAGAAGCGAAGCAGCCGATGGGACCACATCAATCTTTGCATTACGATTTTGGATGGTGAGTTTGCATGTGACTTTCAATCCCTTCCAGTCTTGAGTGGCCTTTGCGATGTCGTCACCCACCTTCTTTGGCGACTAAAATATGAAGCTTTTGTTTTGTCGGAGGAATATTTCATCTATCCTCTAGAAAATGGTATTTATCTTTTCTCTTTCGGAAAGACGTTCTTACAATTTCGTCTCGATAGATTTGTTTCTATCTAACTTTAATATTTTAACAATGTTTTTACCTAGAGAAACTTACCAAACCAAGGGGTCCGACTTTTGGAGCAAGCGCTGAAGTGGCTCCAACTTCGCCACCAACACAACGCAAATAAACAATCTTGATCTCGGTTGGGTCGAATTTTGGTGGCATCTTTTGCAAGTTTTACCTAGAAATTTTCCTTCTTATTTGCACGCAGTTAAAGATCGACAAATTTTTGAATACGCAGTGTAAAGTAAGTAAGCAAGTAGTAAACAAGTCTGAAAGTAAGTAGTGTAAAAAAAAGATATCATATTTACTGTAATAGAACTACTTTCAGTCATGTGATTCGTTTTTCGTGGATTAAAGACAAGAATAATAGACAAGAAATCAAGAAAAAGAACAATAAACAATTCGAATAGCCGGTCGTTCAATTTTACGTACTACAGTAAATAGAATGCCAACAAGTCAAAATGCGAGAAAAATTTGTTGTAAATTAAAGGATCAACTATTTATGTGAGGTATTTCGTTTATGAAAAATGTTGAGGTAAATTTAGGTAAAAAGGAAAGGAAAGAGGAGTTTCGTGATCCGCTCTTTAAACGGTCTCGAACAGAAGATTACGATACTTGGCAATGTTTCCATTAGCACCTTTTGGATTTTTTCAAATTTTCATGCTAGATGGCGGAATTTCGGGGCGTCATCGATGGAATAACTTTAGCATCACGGATTTTGTATAGCTACCAGTTTTGATACCGTAATACCTGTAATAGTAGCGCCCCCCTCCCGTACAGTCGCGTAGTTTAACACACAATTTTGTGACGCTCGGACCTCCGCGCTGCTTCGACGAAAAGTGCGCGCTTAGATATCAAAAGATAGCGCTTGAAGTGACAAATTTTTTGGTATTAACAGTTTATTTTAGAAAAAGCTGGGCGCATTCAAAAAAAATTATTTACTTTAGCGACTACGCGACTGTACGTCATTATGGGAAGGCGCTACTATTACAGGTATTACGGTAGTAGGATTTCAAATACAGGTTGCAGTTTGTAAGAAAACGAGAAGTTATCATAATTTGAGTCAGATATTTGGTTGATTAACTGAATATCTTAAAAAGAGTGGCGAAGAACAAGAACATTCCTATGCTGGAGCCCGGCATAGGAATATTCCTTTCAAGAGAGCTGCCACGTAGAATATGCTTATTTTAAAAAAATTCCATCATTTAACGAATGAAAATTTCGTCCCACTTGGCATATAAGCGTTTGAAGTTTTGAAAATTTTGATTTTTGAATAGAATTCCCCATTTGAGAAGCAGTACTTTAGAACTCTGACTGTTTTCAAAAATTTGAGCTATAGACCCAATTTTGTGCTTGTTGTTCACAAAAATTCCTGTATGCCTTCTTTCAGTTAAAAAATTTAGGCATCTATTTTTATATTACCGTTTTATACTATCATTTTTCTATTTTTCGTGTCAAATCGCTTTTTGGCGTACGCGATCTACTGAATATTTTTTTGGTTTAGTGTGCGATGATCGAGCAAGATATCTACCTGGAAGAAGTAGAGTCCGAGGAGCCATCACAGTTCAGCTCATCGACCGACTTTTTGGCGTATGGACGAAGTTCTCTCCCTGCAACAAATACGGTAAAGCCATCTGACGTTTCGACCTGACTTGAGCTGGCCTTACTTTTTATGTTTTTTAAAGAGTTTCTTGCCTTTTACCATAATCCAGTACCTATTTCGAGTTGATTAAGCTTAGTAGCCCTCAAATCATTAGTTAAAGTTATTAGAGCATAAAAATTGTAATTTGTTGTTCAGAGACAAGTCCATGATAATTTTGTTTTTTACAGATTTATCGAATCGAGAAGGAAAACTCAGCTCATCCAAGCAATGGCAAGCAAGAGGCTCTCACTTACAAGGTTTGGTTCTATATTCAATTCTTATTTGAGGAAATAATATTAGGAAAAGAACATTGTATGGAAATCTCATTATTAAAGTAAAAATTAGAATTTACCGTTGGCATCGAGCTCTACAGGTCAGCAAAACTATGAAATGGTGCACAGAACGGCATATCAGCAAAGCCTATCAGTGCCACGGAGACCCTCAAAAAAGTAAGTTTGGGTTGATAAAAGCTCTTATTTTTATTTTAGAAAGTCGAACCTGGGGTTGAAGAAACCATGTAATTGCACAAAGTCCATGTGCTTGAAGCTCTACTGCGACTGTTTTGCCAATGGAGAATTTTGCCGCGATTGCAATTGCAAGGACTGTCACAACAATATGGACTACGAAGCTGAAAGGTCACGGGCAATCAAGCAATCGTTGGAAAGGAATCCACAGGCGTTTCAGCCTAAAATTGGTAGGTTAACAAACACAAATTTCGTTAAATTATTTTTAAGGAGTTGCGCCGAAGGGTCAACTAGAAGCAGAGCGTCTCCATCAAAAAGGTTGCCACTGCAAGAAGTCGAGTTGTCTGAAGAACTATTGCGAATGTTATGAGGTAGCACTTTCAAATATTTGCGAATTTAATTATCTACATTTTAGGCAAAAGTAGCCTGCACTGATCGATGCAAATGTACATCATGCCGTAACACCGAATCGGACAGAATAGCCAAGGCTCAACTGGTATAGTTTCTTGTATTTTTAACTGGTATTTTTGCTTATAAGTTAACGTCTTTTTAAGGCATCAGCGCGTGAATCATCGCGTGTAACATCAGCTTCACTGCTAAGCGTGGCTTCTGGATCATGTATCTCCACTACTGCGTCTGCATCGAGATTTTCCGATGAAGAGTCGGATTCAGGTAGAGTTAACTAAAAAATTTATTGTGATATACCGTATTTATTCTAATAGAAAAAATTTGGTGAAGGTGGTTGGAAAATAGGAGCGCAGCCTCCAATAGAAGCAATAACTATGGATATTCAGCTTGGTAGACCGAATACCCTGAGTTTTGGGCCTTTACGAATATATAAGGCTATATAGGCATTTTCTTGAGAAAAATAGCTATCTTTATCATTTGTTTTGCATAAGCAGTGGCAATTTTGATAAGTTTTTCTTGCAATTAGATAGTCAGCTTATTTAAATCGAATTTAGAACTTCGACTAGGTATTTAAAGTCCGTCGAGCTTAAGATAATTTTTGCCATAAAATTCTCACAACTTTAAACATTTTGACGTTTTATATTTTAGTATCCAATCCTTTACCAAAGAATCTTCCTTGCTTAGTTCTTTCTTAGATTATTATTATCATTATTGCTCAATCAGTAGCTTTTCTTGCATTTATATGCATTGACTACCATAGTGACATCTTGATTGAAGTCGACGACTCTAACGGTAATGAAATCAAGAATAATGCTTTTTTGACGATTGAATTGTTTTTAATTGGTTGTTACCTAAAGGTTTTCTTTCTACCATCTACTTCATCAATTTTTTTTATTCATCGAAAAACAGGAGTGCATCCTCCAATTTTGTGAAATAATTGAAAAAAATCCGGCTAGAATTAATACGATACATTATTTTTTCAATTCGATTAGAATTAATATGATACATTTTTTTTCAGATGAAAGAAGTGATCCAAAGACCAGACCATGGTTCTATCTACGCGATGAAGTCATTGAAGCTACGACCACTTGCTTAGTGGCGCAAGCAGATGAATTGGTAGTATTTGTGATTTCACAATTGGTATTCACATCATATTTTAGGAAAACTCTGATAGTGCCGAGGAAATTTTGGAACACGGAATTCTTCACGAATTTGCCAACGCGATACGGAAGATTATCGAACACTCACAAATGGCTGGTTTGGACGTTGCTCAACAAGATTTATTTCACTAAACGCTATATTTTATGGATGTAATTGATTTGCTGTTTTTATGCGCTGCCTTTACGTACAATAAACGTTTAAATGCAAATTTGTCATATTGATTGCTAAGGCATTTGAAAAGCCATAAATTGTTTTGAAACATGTTACTATCTTACATAATAAAAGCCGAGATAATGAATGAACATATGGAGACAGCGTTTAAACTGGCCGAAGAGGCATTAAAGAATGATGAAGTACCTGTTGGATGTGTTTTCGTTTGCGACGGAGTTCAGGTTTGGTACTAGTCATTTTCTCATTAATGTTTTTTAGGTCGGACAAGGACGAAATGAAGTAAATGCCAGCGGAGACCCAACTGCACACGCTGAAATGGTGGCAATTCGAGAAATGCGTAAGCATAATTGGTCTGAAAAGGTCAATTTTTTTTTACTCTATTACGTCTTTTCAATTCTTTAATTTAGGAGATTCACACTTTTGAATTATTTGTGACACTCGAACCTTGTATTATGTGTGCCGCTGCAATGTATGAGTTGGGCATCAAAGTAAGTTTTATTTTTCAAGTTCTTCTGGATTCTTGTTTAGCGAATTGTGTATGGGGCAGCAAATCAAAGATTTGGTGGAATCGAAAGTGTTGGAAACAAAGAAAAATATGGTGCAGAACATGAAATTGAGGTTTGCTTTTGCATTGTTTATTCTATATTTGAATTTCAAGGTCAATTCCCTAATTGAAGCAAACCGTGCAATTGGTCTACTTAAACAATTTTATGAATTAGAAAATGCGAACGCCCCGGAACAAAAAAGGAAGATAAAAAAGAAAAGAAATTGTTAATAAAGCTTTTTATATGGTGTATTATTAATGACAAGTTAAAAACTTGTTATATCGTGTTTGAGAGAACATTGAATTATTCTAGAGATAGGTTTTAGATGAAATCAAACAAAGTCTCAAGTCAATCAAAGAGCATCAAGGTTGGTTTATTGTACTTGAGCCATTGATAGGAAAGCGTTAAAGCCATGGTTGACAGGGATGTTTATTTTTTTTTAGTGTTATACGCCAGAAGTTTTAATTTCTAACAGTTGATGGGAAAATTCATAGTCCATTTTCAGATAGTAGTTCGGGGCTTTCCACCATCAATTGACGAAGACTCTACACGTCAGCAATTGGGCACGCTTCCGGCAGAGCCGGTCTACTGGAGATTCAGGTATTCAATTTTGGCACGTGTTTACTGTAGCAATTTTTTGTACATCAGTAATATTTTATGCTTTAGCCCCGGTAACCCACACCTTGACTGCGCCGTTAGGCCATTCCTCATTATTGCCTTTGCCAATGACGAGGACGCGGTGAACTTTGCAGATCGATTTCATGGGTATTTTATGAAATAGCACCTCAGTAAAATATATTTAGTTTTGTTTTTGTTGATTCAAAGGGGGCCGCATCGAGTGTTTTTGTCGAATTAGCTCTCAATGTTTCAATTCCAAAAACTACCAGAGAAACGGTTAACTTTTGAATATTTGAATTTGAATATCAATGATTTTAGGTCAACAAAGATCCGGAAATTGGAAAAGTTAACGAGACAAATGAGTTTAAACAGTATGTCGAAAACATCAAAGACACTTCAACGCGTCTGTCTGTTGGTTTTAGTTTTTATGGCTTTTGAGTTACTGACTCTCCTAGTATTGGGATTCTAAAGTGCCCAATAAGAACCAAATATCCCAATACCGAATACCTATCATCTAGAATATCCCATAAGGAATTTTAATTACAGATTGACCAACAACTCAAAATTATCGATGAGAAACGCTCGAAGCTTGTCGTCGGTGAAATCACTCCTTTGGCTAAATTTGTTCTACAACAACACATTCAAAAACGTGACCGAATCGAAGAACGTCGAAAAGTCAAGGAGGAAGAACATAAGACCAGAAAGGAGAAACGAGCTGCTCGTTTGGTAAGGGCTATGATTAGGAAATGGTTTTGCTAAATTAACATTTTAGGAGAAAGAGGAGAAAGAGTTGGATGGTCGAGCGAAAGGACAAAAGTTGTTGGGATTCATGAAACGTGAGCCGAAAGAGGAGAACGAAACAAAGTTAGAAAACATTTCCAAGAGGGAAGTGAGATCAAAGGTGAACTATATTGGTATCTAATTTTGACATACTTTTTAATTTTAGTGGGGTGCTTCAAATGCTTCTTCAAGTAATGCTGCAGGAAAAGTTGTGAAAAACTCGGATCATCGAGCTAGCACGTATGTTTTGAAACTTTTATTTTTAATTATCGGGGTTGAGGAATCATCGTTATTTTCAATTCGTGTCTAATCATGCAAGAATAAAGTTTTAGTCTGTCCGTAATCAAAAAAACTTAGTTTTACAATTTGGTTGATTGGTTCTGCCGAGTTTGAAATAAGCTTGGTAATTTGATCTTTATTTAGCAAGAAAAATCCAAACGAAACAATCGCGAAAGTGAATGTGGTTACAAAGAAGCGGATGCAAGCGGGAAAGATACGGGCCATTCAGACGGGTAGGTATAGGCATTTATAGTTATTTTTGAAATTTTAGTGGTGTTCAAAACAAGGCGCACTTCACCGAAAAGGTCGCTGATAAAGGAGCTCGCCGTGAACGGAAACCACGAGTTGAGCGAGAGATCTATCGACCTGGTAGATTGAAAAAAGTCAAAGAAGTTGAACCTTCCGGCAACCAAAACGCCGAATAAGCATTTGTTTTTTGTTACTGCTCCATATCTTTTTAATGTCCGGGTGTATTGTGATCCAACTTTAAAACTTGTCACATAAAGGTTTTGAATAAAAATGTATATACAAAGTGTTTATGATTTAAAACGTCCTCGTTAAATTTAATGCCATTGAATTGTGCCGTGAAACCTGGTTTACATAGTATTTAGATGATATCTAGGATGTCTTGTTTGTCACATCATACAACATCAAACCGATTGGCGCAATTTCTTTCAAAGTCCATATCTTTGACGCAAAAAAGACTTCTTGTTGTAAGGTTTTACAAAAAATCATTAGAACACATTTTAGGAAGGAAATGTCCCATCAAAGAAGGGTTCTCGAGATATGCTTTATTACGCCATGTCACTTGGAGGTGTGGTTTTTTTCTTTTATTACGTATACCGTTTATTTAGTTGTTGCGATCGGTGCAACTTTTGCCGCAATACCACTATACAGAATTTTCTGCGAACAGACAAGTTTTGGAGGCCTAACGCAGGTAATTCTTGGCAAACTTATTGCATATAAAAACTGTGATTTAGATAGCCAAAGACTTTGCCAAAATTGCCACGATGCAGAAAGTGGAGGATCGTTTGATACGGGTTCAATTCAATTCTGATGTGCCGAGTAATATGCGATGGGAATTTAAACCGGTGCAAGATGAGGTTTATTTTTTTTGACTACTAGCACTAATACGTCTTTTAGATTTATGTACACCCAGGTGAAACGGCATTAGCCTTTTTTCTCAGCTCGTAACCCAACTGACCGACCTATTGTTGGGATTTCAAGTTATAACCTCGTACCATTTCAGGTTTTTGTATTAAATGTATCGAAAAAAAACAATGATTATTAGGCGGCTTATTATTTCAACAAGATCCAATGTTTTTGTTTCGAAGAGCAAATTTTGAATCCAGGAGAACAGGTCGGTAATTGTTTGCAATCAAAGGCAGGGCACAAGGATAAATAATGCCTTTGTCAAAGCGTTTTTATATTTTGCTACTTATTGTTAGTTCATTTCAATATTTAGGTGGATTTGCCCGTATTTTTCTACATCGACCCCGATTATGCAAACGATCCGAATTTGGAATTTCTAGATAGTATACTTCTATCTTACACATTTTTTGAGGTAGCGTCAATTTTCTACAATTGTCTTTAGAAAATATTTTAGGCAAAGTCTGGCCTTAAACTACCATCTCCATTTGAACCAAAGCCTGAAGCTACAAATGTGAAATAAACATTGTGATTCGGCTGCTATTTTAGTGAATTTCTTAGATAAAGTAAGTAATTTTGTTGATTGCTTTTGTTCTGTTGAATAGTTTGGAAAAGCAATAAAAATTTTTTCAGCAATTTTTCACAGTTAAATTAAAACGTAAATGCTTTACCGAAATGCCATGGGTACTTCCATACCACTTTTGCTTCAGAGAACTAAAAGAATCGCTTTTAGCGAACGAAACTAACTGGAAACGAAAATGAAGGTTTGAAAGTTTTTTTTCCTTATGTAGGCATTTATTTTAGAGTTCACCAAAAGTTTTTCGTCGCCCACTACAACCAATTCCAGATACATTTGAGGAGTTTTTGAATCTGGCCAGAAAGTTCAACGAGGACGATCCGTTAAGTTAGTTGGAAAATATTGAGTTTAAAATATGTCTGTATTTTAGATGCATTCAACTCTATTTCTGGCCTAAAACTAGTTGGACCATTCGAAATTTTGGACGGAGTTTTAGACCATGCAACTGGTAATGTTTGTCCGTATCTTACCCTTAAGAAATTCAATTTTAGATGACGAACTTCGTCTACATTGGAGATTTCCAAACGATCTACCTGAAATGCAAACGTGTGCAGTTTTTGAAGGCGGTCGCTTTTGTATTTGGAGGTTTAAACATTTCAGATTTTTATATATAAGAATTTTTAGAGACGAGCCTGATACCAATAATTCTTTTATTGTCACGATACCAGGAAATGGTGACGAATTCTTCGCGGAAATTACCGTTTTAGGCGAACATCCATGTTGCATGCTTTTTCATCTTAACGCAAGGTCGGTTTGTTGAACAATATTAATGGGATATGGCTAAAATTGGATTGTTGTTGCTTTTTAGTTCTGCATTTTTCCCAAAGAATATGAAGAAGAACGATTTCCAGGATGATGAGAAGAGAATCAAATCAGAACGAATAAAAAAGAGGGTGGGGGTTTTTTACTCAATATCTTTTTATCTTTTTGATAGGTTGCTTTACCATTACACGGTGCAGAGGGTCCAGGAATCGTTGTGCCTGTCAAAAATGGTATAGGCTACAGACCAATCTTAACACCGAATGGTGAGTCAATGTATATTTTTAAAGTTTTTCTGACTATAGCTCACATCAAGCACATGTTTTTGACAATCGCCACGACAACCAATGAGAAAGAACGAGAAAAACTGATGGGATCAGTGCGCGAAATGTTGTCGCTGATACAAGTTTGTGTTGATCCTTACTTATTATAAGAGAGAGAGTATGTCTGTGTGTGTCTGTCTGTGATGCGATTTTAGGAAAAACGGCTGAGCCGATCGAGCTGAAAGTTTGACATTATAAACTTTTTTTGCTTTAAATGTTTTCAAGCATGGAGTTGAAGTATGCAAACTTGAGTTGCTTCGCAGCGAAGCTATTGTTACAGGGGTCTCGGAGGGGCGCAGGAGGGAAGGGGAGGGGGCCCTTTAACTCGAGAGCTCAAACTAAGCGTTAGCCCCAAAACACCCAGCCAGAAAAACCCGCCGTTAAGCGGCTTTTTGGCTGGTTATTTATAATATTGCAAGTATGTTTCAGATGGCTGACGATGAGATGGATTTTGGGATGGGTCTCGAATTGGGGCACGACTGCTTTATGGCTAACGCGCCTCGCTTGGACAAAGTGACAAAACTCTTGTTAGCAAAGGCGTATGAACTGCTTGGAAGGTTGGTAATATATCTTTTTTTTCATTTAATGTCTTAAGATAAAAGTATAGTCGAAAATTTCTTTGGAAAGGAAGTTTTTATCCAAATAATTTGAAGTTTCTTATAGAGAAAAGTTTCTATAAGGGCTGGCTAAACTAAAGTCTTTGTTTAGGAAAGAATACGGAGAAATCGTTCGGATTCAATTTGTCGATGGAAATCGAAGGCGTGAAAATTTGTCGATTTTGGTTTGATTGGACTTACCTAATTATTGGTATTTTGTATTTATTGTTTAACTATTGGTATTTTGTGTTTTTTTTATAAAAATGGGTTTTTCTTAAAATTTATCCGAACACAAAATATACATTTATCACAAAAAATGATAAAACAATATGTAGGTATGTGCCCTTAAAACCCGTAATGGAAAAACCGTATCTTGTGCATATTTAGATCAATAAGTAATATTTAAATAAAGTGAGCGAGCAGAATGAATATTAGAGCGGAGGTCACTGGCACCGAGGGTCCAATCGAGGAATACGGTGCTGAAATTGAAATGAATAGCTTGAGTGTCATTAATTGGTTAGAGCTGTATTATTGAAGTTTCGGTACTTATTCTCAAAATCTTAATTTGCACACCAACCCGCATCTTCATTAACCACATAATATGCTTCAGCACTTCCGTCCACCCGATTCACTTCGACATTCGATCCGAATTTTTCACCACTCTGCAATGTTTTCTGTTTTTCATTATTGGTGCATGATTGTTTACCGGTTCTTGAAATCTAAATGTCCCTTCAAGTCCTCTTTGTGCCCAAGCAACGACTTGTTTCATCTTTTCTTCGGTCATCGATGCAGAAGATGGTGGAACTGAACAAAATTTTGCTAATTGTATTCTTTTCCCTTTGCTTTCAAACCGTCTTTGCTTAAACGTTCGTCTTCGGAACTCTCAACGACTTGAACGAAAATCTCGGGTTTTTGCTCGGTCTCGGAACTTTCCGTTTTCTGTGAACCGATCCTGGCACGAGGGTGATCTAAAATTGAAATTAAAATCTTGATTTCGATTTCATTTCTCAACCTTGATACTTTATTATTTGTGGAGAATCTGTAGTGGAAGAGTGAGCCTCATCAATCTCGATTCTCAATCTCATTTGATGAGATGCGCACAGTCCATTATGACGAGACTCGAGGCCCGATGGATGACCGGTTGAAGTGGCTGAATAGGAAGAGATTTTGAGAAAGTTTCAAGTTAACACTTTGGCGTCAAGCTATGTTTAGAGATTCGACTCACAGATAAAATAATAGGAATTCCCCGGCTCGAATCGGGTCGATTCCGGGAAGGGGCTGTGCGTTCGGAGGAGTTTCTTTTTCTCACCCGATCCGTCACATCTGAAAGTTGTTTTGAAGAAATTTGAAAGAGACTTTTTTTACCTCAACTGCTCTTTACTCGAACTCGAAATGAGACAATTCATGAAAGACATTTCGTCGACCTGGAAAATGATTGGAATTTTGTGCCTCGCTGCGAAAACCTTCATTACATTACGCGTTTCTCCGCTCGAATACACAAAATCACATTTTGTGCACATTGTAAAAAAGAATTGGTTTATCGGGTAGCAGCAGTACCTACACTTAAGAGCTAAACGAAATAATCAGAATGAGAAATTTCGTCAAATTCCTTCCTTAAATACTAGCAGTTACAGTAGGTTTCTCGACGGTTTTTCGACGAAACCCACCGTACGAAACCCACAGATCATCCACGATGTAATTTATATGAAAAACCACAAAACGCCCAAATTTCTTGCAAAATAGTAAGCTTTTACAACATGCTCAAAATCATATACCGTATTCTCTCTAATAGTAGTGCACCCTGAGCGCCTCCTAAATTGCTCGAAATCTCGAAAAGCGCTTATCAGAATCTATCGATGTGGGATCGGAAAATGTAGCTGTCGATGAGATCTTGTGGGGGATTTGAGGGTTGAGCTTCTGCGAAAGCTTGGAAACCGTAAAATAGTCACCAACTCGGCTCGCCGGGGTGCACTACTATTAGAGAAAATACGGTATCCTTTCCCCAAATTTTATCCACTATCAGTTCTGTTTCATTTCTAAGTAAATCAAAAAGCGAGCCTTTTCTAGACCATAGAAAGGCATTTTTAGACTCTAAATCTCGCAAATCATTCAGATAAAGTGGGGGATTAGAGTGTTGAGCTTCTGCGAAAGCTTGGAAACCGTAAAATAGTCACCAAATCGGCACTACCGGGGTGCACTACTATTAGAGAGAATACGGTATTTTTTAAAGATTTCTTTTCTCACCAAGTAAACAACGAGTTGCTCTTGACGTTTTTTTGAGCAGAAAAATTGTAGAGTATCTCCGTAAATGAGACGAACGGTGTACGAATCGAAACCGTGGGGATCCGGTGAAGAAAAGCTGGAATTTAGTAGAATATACATTTATAGCATTGTCAAGTGAGGTAAGGCTTTGTTTTTTTTGTGTGTAATTGAATAAAATTCTATCCAGTATACTATTGAGTCAATATCTAGTACTGTAAAAGTTTCCATAAACACTTTGAACAATTTTGCTTAGAATTTTCTTGTTTTTTTCAACTACAATAATCTCGCAGCTTTTGAAAGTTGTTAGATTTATAAAAAGATAGATGGTCGAAAGAATTTCCGGTACAATATCTCTCTCAATTTCCTTTTGAAAGTGAATTTATGAAGGGATTTCTGTGAAAGATGAAAGATGACGATTCTCCTTTCTTCTTCTTTTCCTTTTCCTTTTCTAGATTCATTCCGGTCATCGCGCATTATTTCTCAGCATTCCTTTTCATTTGAGACCGTATCTTCACGGGTTTTACTTTATCTGGATCACCTCAACAAGTCAGATTACCCATCTCATATTCGGGACAGATGCTTTTGTTTCAGCAAAACGCAGAGATTACTTTTTGCGGCATTTTTCTTTCAAAAATAGAAACGGATTTGGAAAGATCAAAGGAATATTTAATTTCGGATCGTCTGTTTACGATTTGATCTGAAATCTTGATGCCAAATGATTTATTTGAAGTTCTGAATTTGAAGCTGGTTCTAAGAGTAAGGCTAAAGACTAAAGCCTTCTAAATTAAGAGCTAGAAGTGCCTAATTTTAATTAGAAACTAAAATTATCCCGAAATTTCATAATAAAATAAAGTTCCATGATTAGTGTTCAGTTTAACATGTATCCATGTTACATAAATGGGAAAGAGAAAGAGAAAGAGGAAGAGAAAGAGAAAGAGAAGAAGCTCTTAGCTTCTTGCGTAGTCATTAGTTGTGTTGGTCAATCCCTTCTTTTTCCCACGACATTTTCTTTCCTTCCTTTTCAACCTAATACAAATTGTCCCCCTCATTAGTGTAAGCATTGCAAAAGAAAGAGGAAATCCTCTTGATGTACTCACCAACGAAGCTATTTTGCTGAAAGGATTTCTTACTTTTCTTTCTTTCCTTTCTTTTCTTTCTTTTCTTTCTTTTCTTTCTTTTCTTTCTTTCTTTCTTTTATTTCTTTCTTTTCTTTCTTTCTTTTCTTTCTTTTCTTTCTCTTGTTTATCTACTTTACTGCACTTTTTCAAGTTTGAATTGAATCCTCTTAAAAAGACAAAATATCGACGATTAAAGAAAAAGCTAAAGAAAACTATTTCTACAGAAAAGCCAGTTCTTCCTGGTATTTTGTAGCCGTCAATTTGTTGACACTAGTTGAGTTGAGTTTGAGTTACTGTAGCTGGAAATTCTTTTGCTCAAGAAAGCAAGCTCAAAAATCTGAATTTCTTAAGGATTTTTCAATGCCATTAAGCTTAAGTCTATATTTTACGAAAAGTTTAAGATTATCCGTGAAAAATCTCATCTAAAAGATCTTTTTTCTAATGAAATAATTACCGCAATTCGGTTGGGGATAGATTCTCCAAAGAAAACAGGCAGCACCTGTCACGTCGCTAATTGACACAAAATAGGAAAAAGAGAGAAAGAAAGGATTTTCTATCGAGTCTGTCTTGCTTTTGTCAACAAATTGACGGCTCTTTTGTTTTGCTGGGCAACGAAAACAAATTTTGAACGATGGAAATGTCAAAAGAAATACAAAGATGGTCTCAAAATAGTCTCAAAATTTTTAATATTTTCTAGTTTAAATTATTGATTTCTCAGTGTTGCTTATAAAAAAAGGCGCGCTACTTTGGGCATTCAGCTGTAAAAGAAGAAAATGATTATCGTAAATGCACAGTGGGAGATCTTCTTTTGAGCGGTAGATGAATGGGAAAGATTGGTGAAAAGAAAAGGGGAAAAGGGGAAAAGGGTAAAGGGTAAAAGTAAAGAGCTCATTAATAACCATAAACACTCAGCCAAATATCTCAAATAAAATCTCAAAGGATGGCCGATAGATCCCTGATGATGAGGAAAGTTTTAAAATTTTACATTAGGCAAACGAAGATTTGCACATTTAGTGTTTTCTAAAAGGTATTAACTAAAAACTAAAAGGTTTAAAAACTACCTTACGGTAGTTTCAACTTTTATCCAGTCAATCTATTTTGGTCTGATTCTATAGTCTATGAAGAATATCGAAAAATACAGAAATGGATTGGATTGATTGGTTTGATTGGTTTGATTGGTTTGATTGGATTGATTGGATTGATTGGATTGATTGGATTGATTGGATTGATTGGTTTGATTGGTTTGATTGGATTGATTGGATTGATTGGATTGATTGGTTTGATTGGATTGATTGGATTGATTGGGTTGATTGAATTCGATTGATTCGATTGGATTGGATTAATTGGATTGATTCGATTGATTGAATTGATTGGGTTGATTGAATTGATTGGATTGGTTGGATAAACTAAAGGTGTAGATTCCATTGAATAAACTAGAAGCAATGCTACGGTTTTAAAGGTTTACTCTTAGAAAACTTTAAGAGAAATATTGACTTCATCCAATTCAGAGCCATTGTCTAAACAATCATACCCTTTTTTTGCTGCGACTCATTTTAGCCCATCTCTTTATCTCCTCATCAACCCAGAACAGGTGTATTTTGTTCGCTTTTGTTGTTTTGATCTTCGCATTTCTTTTGTTTACCCCCAAATCTCCCCATTATCTTCTGACACGCTTGACCCTGACGATAATTAGCTAAATTTTGAAAATGACATGTCAACCCATTAGTGGAATAGAGATTGAGCTTCTCAGAACTAAAAAAAAGAGTTGATCAATTCAAATTCATCGATTTTCAATCGATTAATCGATCCGTTTCCAACCTTTTTTCTAATCTTTCTCATAATTTTACTTTTCAACCTCCTCGCCACATCCCATTTCAACGATTGCAATAAATTGTCAGCAGTTTTTCCTCTAATCGTAAGAAAAAGGACAAAGAAAAGAAATTCTGCATTCAAATCGAAATAGATCGAGGACACTGTTCGCTTTTTTGCTTTTTTCTTCTTCTTTTTTATTCCCCGGATTTACGGGTGATTTATTTCTTTCAAGTGTGGAAGAGCTGTTTGAAATCCAGGCTTTCGTTTGAGAAATGAGTTTAGTGTTGTGGATTTAAATCCGCTCAACGATTGTGTTTTTTAAAACAATCATAATCTATCGTCTTCTTTAGCAAATCTACTTTTTTTATCTTTCAGTTTTCTTATAGTTTAAAAGCAAAGAAGAGCTGTTTGAAATCCAGGCTTTCGTTTGAGAAATGAGTTTAGTGTTGTAGATTTAAATCCACTCAACGATTGTGTTTTTTAAAACAATCATAATCTATCGTCTTCTTTAGCAAATCTACTTTTTTTATCTTTCAGTTTTTCAGTTTAAAATCAAACCAAAAGTCGATATGATAAAGCTAGATTTTAGATCTAATTTTCTGAAATTTTGATTAGATCAAAGGTTAGATTAGGATGTGGATGAATCTGTTTTCTAAAGCATGCTAAGTTTTCTAAAGTTGTCGTCTTTTCTAATGATTTAAATGAGTTTGGTCTTGTGGATTTAAACCCGCTCAACGATTGTGTTTTTTAAAACAATCGTAAGTTTTCTAAAGTTACGACAACTTTAGAAAACTTAGCATGCTTTAGAGAACAGATTCATCTACATCTTAATCTAACCTTTGATCTGATCAAAATTTCAGAAAATTAGATCTAGAATCTAGCTTTATCATATCGATACTTTTGGTTTGAAAAAAACACAATCGTTGAGCGGATTTAAATCCACAACACCAAACACATTTCTCAAACGAAAGCCCGGATTTCAAACAGCTCTTCTTTGCTTTTAAACTATAAGAAAACTGAAAAATAAAAAAAGTAGATTTGCTAAAGAAGACGATAGATTATGGTTGTTTTAAAAAATACAATCGTTTAGCCAATTTAAATCCACAAAACCAAACTCATTTCTCAAACGAAAGCCCGGATTTCAAACAGCTCTTCCACTTGAAAGAACAGATTCATCCACATCCTAATCTAACCTTTGATTTGATCAAAATTTTAGAAAAAAA